GCATCTATAGTAATTTATATATAGAACCGCGTCACGTTTCACTATGATCATTCTTCAGTTGACTGGAGAATCGTCAAATAAATTAGTTACCTGGGCAATTGAATCAATCAGCCAATCAGATGAATGTCAGCCTATGACGTTACACCTGATCTTGCAAATTAATTGATTATATACTGGTGATGATCACTAGTGGTGATAAATAGCAAAATCATTTTTTAAATTAATATATTAATTTTTGAAGCTTGAATATGCTGTGGACATTCTTAGACATATGGACGTTTGGACATTGGGCAGGACCTAAAAAAGTCTTAGAATAGTAGACGTAATAACACTGGTTGATCAACAATAAAAATTTTTGATTTTTAACTGTTTTTTAATAAATTTTGAACGAAGGAATCTTACTAATTCCCTTTTTATTTCCAATGTTCAAGGCTATTTTCGAATTTCCAGATTAATGAAATTTAAAAATTGTCTTAAGCATTTAAACTTACAAGGGTCGTTATTAAGATATCTTAGCTAAAGTTCAAAAACATAGATAAAATTAAACTTTTTAATTTATTACTAATAATTTTTTTAGCCAATAAAAAATCTCTGATTCTCAAATTCCGTGTTGTTGTGATGCATAAAATTTGCTAATTCGAAAAATGCAGTAAATTTTTTTTGAAATTATTTGATGAATATAAATCAATATATTAAATCATCATAATCACAATATATTGTCCATTTTTAATACAAAATATATTATCGTTTTTATTAGGCATATTTCTAGATACTTTACATCGAATGATACTAAAATTCTTTAATCTGCATTTGTGTTTGCATAAAAAAAGGAATATTCTAAAATTCTAAAGAATTTCCCGATCTGCATTTGTGGCTTGCAAAAAGGAATATTCTAAAAGTCTAAAGAATTTTCCGATCTGAATTTGTGGCTTGCATAAAAAAGGAATATTTTTAAAAAATTCCAAAAATTTTCCGATCTGCATTTCTGGCTGGTAGGAACAAAGGGAATATTCTGTTACACTTTTATTCAATCCCGTGTGCGCCTTTATTGGATAATTTTTCTATTAAATAATTGACAACTAACAAATATAAAATCGTTATCTTGTATTTTCAGACAAGTTATAACAAAGATTTTATCGTTTTCAGATCAAAATCATTCAGCATAGCGATAATATTTTATTTACAATTACCATGAATATAATTAATATTGTTGATAATAATGAGTTATCAACTTCATGCATAAAAAATAAAGTTACTAGGAAAAGAAATCCTTTAGTTAGAAAGTGTAATAGATGTAAGAGGTCAAAATTTCATAAGGATGAGAATGCTCAGCAATATAATTTTTGTGATCAAATAATTTTAAGCGGAAATGGAATTTATAGTTAATTGGCTTATTAAAATAAATATACAAAACAAACAAAGTGTTTTTATAGAATTTATTCCATATGAACAATTTAGTAATGTTACTTATCTTGCTAAAGGAGGATTTAGTGAAATATATAAAGCGACATGCTCTTATGATACAAAAGAATTTTGGGATAATCAGAAGAAAGAATTTGAGACTAAAAATGTTAGGACAATTGTACTTAAAAGTCTCAATAATTCTAAAATTATAAGTAATGATTTTTTAAATGAGGTTTGAATTGGTATTATATCATTTCGATAACTTATTACTATTAAATTTTATCAGTTAACTTATTTTATGATTTTCAGCTAAAAAATTATTTTCAATGTTCAAATTCCTATGTACTTAAATATTATGGTATCACACAGCATCCCGAAACAAAAAATTATTTAATTGTTATGGCTTTTGCATCAAACGGTGATTTGCATAATTATATCTCAAAAAATTTTTTTACTTTATCTTGGGGTCAAAAATTAGGATTACTACTAAGTATAGCACGGGGACTCAATACAATTCATAAGAAAAAAATTATTCATTGAGATCTTCATAGTGGTAATATACTTGTTGATGATCCAAATAGTCCATTAAATGCAAGTATAGGAGATTTTGGAATAAGCAAACCAGCAAATTCGATAACAGATACAAAAGAGATATATGGAGTGATTCCATATATTGCACCTGAGATATTTATTAGAGAAAA